GCTTTGGCATGCAATGCTATATAGTAGTGTCCTGTGGGGAGCAGTTAAATAGTTTATGTCTAGGATGTGAGGGGTTTGTAGTTATTTTCTCAGCTTTCCTTCTGACCTGCACAATATACAGTGGAAGGCAGGCTGGTTGCAATTGTTTTTTCTGCAGTCCTAACTGTCCCTTGCAGTCTATACCTGTCCTGTTTAGTTGCTGTACCAAACCAGACAGTTATAGAAGTCCATTGACGTGCTTAATGTAATAAAATTTGTTGCTGGAATGTTTATTAAGAACTCCAGTGAGACATAGAAGTAGTTTCTTCAAATTTTTATTCAACATGTTACGAAAAACATTCTTCATAACTGCCAGCCTGTATACACATACTGTATAAATTAGCACTGAGTATTGACAGAATTAGTCAGTGTGCTCTCTCCCATTAAGAAAAGGGAAATAAATATATTTAATCTTGGTGCAAAAAGAGTGTTAGAAAATTGACAACTACAGTCCAGCAATAACATATCATTGTATTTACATGAATGGAAGAATGGAAGAAATTATAGAAAGAGAAGTCTGTGACATAGGAAAATCTGAATAGGTTCCAGAATAAATGTAGAAATACATGGCTACTGTGAATGTAATACCAACAAAAAGGAGCTTTTACATGCAACTCATAGTATCAGAGACAATAAGTAGTGAATATGGTATTTTGAGTTATACATAACTTTATAATTTAGGTAACATTTCCATTTGCTAGTATGAAATATTGCTTAAAACAAATGACTGACTTTTCACCTTTTCCTATGAAATTGAACTGTCATTTGCTATACAATGGTATCATCATTTATTCATGAAATATGCAATTACATTTACTTCTGAGAAATATGTAATTCTACAAGCATGAAAATGTGTTAAATTTGCTCAAGGTGATTTGCTTATATGCCACAGCTATAGCATTTAATATATGTTTGTTTCATTACATTAAAATTTTAAAAGGACGTTGTTACAGTTGTGCTGTTTTAGTAGTAAGAGTCATATGGTTTAAAATGGATAAATGGATAAAATTATATTTTATAATTTATATTTTAAGCAGCTCTTGTTAAAAGCATATGCTTGTACAGTTGTATGCAGAAATGAGATCAATCAAACCGTTGTACATATATAGGTTATTTGGAATTAGTTGACTAATAGTATCCCATAAATGTTTATTCAGAAGTAAACCCTACTGGTTTAATAGGAGATATTTCCATGGAAGTACAGTATATAGGTATAAGTTTCAGTTATGCGATTAAGCAAACAAATGAATCTAAATCTAAAACTTTAAAAAAGCATTCTTACAGAAGGGTAGATTGTAATTCAATTATCCTTATTGGATGCTGATTGAAATAAAATTGTCAGTCATGTACTATCTAGTAATAATAAGTAACACTTTTTCTTGGAAGAATTGTTAACTTCAATGTTTTTTTAATCATATAAGACACACAAAACAATAGGCAAATATATCACGTATATTCTTGGTTGCCTATGTTTTTAATATTGGAGGGAAATGCATAGTAGTTTCATCCTGAAGGCAAACTATCTCCTATCTTAGAATACAGTGGGAAAAGAAAAGCCGTTTTTTTAATTGTTTCTTTTTTAGATCTCAGGTGGGAAGAAATAGTTGATATATGTAGAAAACTCTAATCATATCTTAATGTTTAATGGGGTGGAGACGAATTTTAATTTTAAATAGTTTTAGAGTTGTACACTAAAAGATTAAAGTTTGAATTTATATATTTGTGTAGGGAAATGTTCAAACATCTTTCACATGCTAAAAATATGTAATTTTGCACCAGACATCATACTGTAAGCCAAAAATTATTAGCGTGTCTATTTTTGTATTGCTTTTTCTTGCTCATCTAAGCATGGTAGACAGCTGCTGTCTTTTACTATCCAAAATCAATTTCATGACAATTGGACAATACATTTGGGGAATAAGTTGACATCTGTCCTAATGGCACCTGTTAGGAAGTACCATTACCTGCTTAGGTGAAAAAAATTCAGATGAGGATTAACTGTATTATGAATTATAAGCATGGTAAGAAATGCCCTCTGTTGGGAATAATAGCCACTGTTTAATAAGCTCATGTAATCAGAAAGGAGAACACAATTGGGGAAAGCAAAATTAGGATGCAAAACAGGTTACAACTTGATTTTGATGTTGAAACAGCAAAGAAGTCAAGTTATTTTGTGCACACATGGAAAAGCAGAGAGTTCCTAGGAAGTTAAACATAAGAAGTAGGAAAGTACAAATCCAAATGAAAAATATCTGAATAATAAGGATCACATATATAGAGAGAAATTTGAATACTCTAGACAGAAAAAGTGACTGACCATATCTACTACTGTACATTATTTATTTGTTCACCAACTATAGGACAGCTATTTTTGTGATGGTTCATCATATTTACAGCAGTAGACGTTATTTTCTGGTAATCCTTTTTTTCTCCAATCAAAATTTACCACTTGATCCAAGAAAGTTTATAATGAATTACTAAACAGATGATATTCAGACTATTGTATATAATAAAATACTGTATTTATTTGACAGAACATATGTTTATGCTACAATCTTCAATGGTAAAATCAGTGATAATATGAATTAAAATTGACTATCTTTGTAAGATTACAACAAATTACCAATAAATATGAATATAAGAACACAAATATATTTTTTCTTAAATAAACTGAAAGTGCATTAGGATTTTTAAGCAGTTCTTAGTCAGTGAGATTATTTTCCCTTTATGAATTAGGGATTTGATAGAAAAATGTATAAACATCAAATTGTTGTTTAGCAAAATATAGTATGGCTACATATTTCATGTGTAAAATCTAGTGATAGATACCTTACATTCAACTTATAAGAGTAAAATATTTATTTTATGTATTCAATTTTATTCTACCTTTTATTCTTCCAATTGTTGTTCAATAAAGAACTTATTCAGAAAAAAACACAAAATAATTACCAGCCAGCAATGCAGACAACAAATCAAAATATATAACATCACAAACAAGGGCCCATTCAGATCTGTTTTTCAGGGTGTTCCAAACTGGTGGGAACCATATAGATTTCAGGGGCATCTTATTTTAGAGAGTAGGTACCGCGGTAAAAAAGACATATTTCCTGAGTCCCAAAAGATGATGTTTTATTAATCAAGGGCGCCTAGTGGGTAGGAACTGTAGAACACAGGCAGTTCCTCAAATAACTAAAGCCTTTGCCACGTAGAGCTTTAATAAATAGTAACTTGTATTGCACTGTGAGGCACATTGGCAACCAGTGCAGCTTGCAAAACTGACATGAGGCATGCCAAGGCAAGGCCATCACTGCTCATGTTACTGCATTCTGGCTTTGAAGTTTTGGGTGCAGGTAGATCACATTGCATAATCAAGCTATGAGGTGACAAGGACAGAACTGACAAGTTTATACAAAAATGTTTAAACATTATTTCAATTCCTTTTTTCAGCAAAAAGTTTTTTTTTAACTTTTGTTTGTAAAGTTCCATGTTTATGCAGCAAATATGTGATCTTTTAAAAAATTCCATACAACTGCAGTAAGGCTTATGAACTTTTATTCTTTTGAATTATGAAAGTAGATGGACAGTTGATTCATAACAAAATGTTTATCTAAATTTAAATGCACTTTACAGTAAATTATGTTATTTCTGAGTCAGCAAGTATTATTTAAAATATTAATGAAAAATACTTGCTACTTGCTACAAATTTCATACTTCTATGTTGCAGTACAATAATGTCCTTTTATATTTTGCTAAATTGACCATTGGCTTACAAGATAATATGTATTCTTGCTTGTAAGGAAAGGAATCCCTATTTTGAAATTATTCAAAACACTATGTTTATGTGCTTATCTCTAAAAAAAGAGTATTCAATAGAGGAATAATACATTTTTTTCTTTATTAAATGGTAGCTGTAAGCTAGCAAACACACTGTTGATCTCAACTCTGACACACACACACACACACACACACACACACACACACACACACACACACTTACAAACACATTGGTTTTCAGGTAATTGTATTATACAGTGGTACCTTGGTACTCAACTGCATTGAAATTCATCCAGTTTGGTACTCAACATATTTTGATGTGAAACTTTTGTTCCAGTACTCATCATTTATTTGGTATTCAACATACAAGCTGCAACTTGTTGGTGTCGACTGCCTTGTGATTCACTATGTTATTTCTTATGGCAAAAATTTGGTACTCATTATTTTTGGTACTCATCACACTTCCCGGAAACAGTGATGAGTACTGAGGTACCAACTAAAGAGATACTGCTATGAAGTTGATATGAAATTGAAATTGCTCAGTGCACACAGAGAATAGTTGTCAGTAGCAAGGCATATATAACCTAGGTAGGGAGTATTATTGTTATCCAAGATTTTTTTTAAAAAAAATTCTAAAATATTTTAAAGCCAATTAATTATTGCTAATAAAATTTCAGAAGAGTAAAGTAGATCTATTTCTATATAAGGATCTGTTTTATGATTAGTCTTTTAAAGGAAGAAGAGTAGCCATGGGACCAACACTTGACACATTGTTTATATAACTCTAAATATATTTTTCACATACTATCTTCATCTTTATTAAAAGAACAATTATTTGTTGTCTCCCAAATGTCTGTTGAATTCATTCTACAACTTCTCAGATCCATTGGAAATGAATAATCCCACAAATGTAATAATTCAAATTAGTAATTTTTAATGCCAAATTGAACTTTGTTTATATGGCCACCTTAAATGCATTGCATTGAAAATGTGCATATGATTTTATAAATACATAAATATATAATTCTCACATGTGTGTTTGTATGAATTCATTTAGAATTAATCTTTGATGAATTCTATGGGACATGCTCCAATACAGAATGCTTATGAATATTTATTTCATTTACGGAAATTATGAGTTTTAAAAATGACTTACTGATTATTTTTTCTTTATACTTTGTCATTAGGATCTCGTCTTCGCCAGGAAGATTTTCCTCCACGAATAGTAGAGCATCCATCTGATGTTATTGTTTCTAAAGGAGAGCCTACAACTTTGAACTGCAAGGCTGAAGGAAGGCCAACTCCCATTATTGAATGGTACAAAGATGGAGAGCGTGTGGAGACTGACAAAGATGACCCCCGTTCACATCGCATGCTGCTTCCTAGTGGATCTTTATTTTTCCTAAGAATTGTACATGGACGCAGGAGTAAACCAGATGAAGGAAGCTATGTTTGTGTTGCCAGGAACTATCTGGGGGAAGCTGTGAGTCGTAATGCTTCTCTGGAAGTAGCATGTAAGTAATTCCAAACAACATCCAGACATTATGAAATATTTTGCAGTTACTAAATCATAGTGGAGCAATGAATACTTTCCACTATGCATTCCTAACTTTATTAATGTTATCTGTAAAGTTTATGGGAACATTAAAGGAAAGTATGCTTATTGTTTTGTTCATTGATATAAGTTTATTTAGTGCTATAGTCATGCAACTACTGGTATTTTGTTCGATTTTGCTAGTGGGGGATATTAGTGTTTTAGCAAATAATGTTTTTTATGCTTTTAATGCCACCTTAACTTTTCAAATAAATTACAAACTGTTCATAACTATAAACTATTTGTAATGATAAATCAAATATCTTTGTGATAATCATACTTCCTTTTGCAAGTGTATTTAAAGCCCATTTATAAATAGATTCATTTGTGGAAATGAAATAATACCATATTATTTCAGAAGCAGTGAATGCTCCAACACTGGAAGTTTTTAAGAAGAGACTGGACAGCCATTTGTCTGAAATGGTATAGGGCAGGGGTAGTCAACCTTGGCTCTTTTATGACTCGTGGACTTCAACTCCCAGAATTCCTGAGCCAGCTAAGCTGGCTCAGGAATTCTGGGAATTGAAGTCCACGAGTCATAAAAGATCCAAGGTTGATTACCCCTGGTATAGGGTTTCCTGCCTGAGCAGGGGGTTGGACTAGATGACCTCCAAGGTCCCTTCAAACTTTTATTATTATTATTATTATTATTATTATTATTATTATTATTATTATTATTATTATTATTATTATTATTATTATTATTATTTTCAAGATACAATTTACAGACATTACAGCATTTGCTTCTGTAACAATAGGCTAGGAATATTTTGTTATCTTAACAGGACTAGATCTTTTTTATGCAAATGTAAATTGCTAAATACAAGTGAAATGATCGTAAAACATATATTGGGAAAGATACAGAGACAGAATTTCAATTTCATGTATCAGGTCTTCACTTTGAAATACTAGAGACAAGTCCTAATCTGTCTAACATTGCTTCTGATCTAGGTAGAGTTGGTTGTAGCACCAGAGATAGCAGCTGTAGCCCCAGCTGTTAAATTTGAGATAGCAGCTTGATCTATTGACCACTGCAAGAGTGGCTCTGGTCTAAATGAAAATTCATGAAAAATTGATGAAGTCCTGAGATTATTTTTTTCCTTTTCTTTTTCAGTACTGTGCTACTCTAGTGAGAAAAGATTAAATGAGGTGTTGAATGTTTTAGCTGCAAGGAGGTTGTAGTTCAGAAGTCAGAAGAAACTGATCATTTTCACTGTAGCCTTTGCTTTAAATAAACCAGATCATTTATTAGCTGGCTTATGTACAGTATGTACGTGTATGTTTCTCTCTGTGTATCTGTATGTATATGTGTGTATATTTATATTTATATGTATACATATATGTATTTCCAATTTATTAACCTTTTCCAGGAAATTGATGTTGACCAAAAATAATGATTGTATTCTAATTATTAACTTAGAAAACAAAAGCAAGATTGAAATCTGTAATTAACATTTTTATTTGTGAGAATTATTTGAGAATTTAGCAATAATTCTAAAACATAAACCAGGTATTTGAACCCAGTATCTCTAACTTTGTTTTAAATCCACCTAGTTTATAATAAGGATTAGATTCTAAGATATATTTAAATAATATAAATTGTATCTTAACAATTTCAATGCAAGTTGATTAAATGTTCATAAAATTATAGGATCATTTTACAATAATTTTTTTGATTCTATAATGTCCCATAATTTGAAACGGATACTAACATTAGAACCATCTGTCAAGATTGTGGCAGACTTCAGAGGGGCAGAATTCTTCTGTGTTGGAACTAAGGCCTGCTTAATGCCATCATACATCCCCTTGATGTTGCCTGTGTCAGCTGCTATCTGGATCTGAGAGCAAAGCTGCAGACAATAGTCATTAGCACATCTCCTGGCGGTCTGTTGGACTTTGCTACGCGCAGCTCGCCGAACCCGTAGGTTGCGCTCGCTGGAACGGCTTTATATGCAATTAAAGCTCTCCTTTTTTCCTTGATGGCTGGCGTCAGGTCATCCGAATGGGCTTCAAACCAATCTGATGTCTTTCTGATCTCTTTACCAAATATTGACAGAGCGGTGTTATAAACAGTGTTCTTGAAATATACCCAACGTTCAGATGCATTTGCTTCAGCCAGGCCTGGGAGAGTCTCCTTTAGTGCTTGTGCAAATTCTTCCACTTTGCCCTGATTGTGGGTCTTGCTAGAATCAATACGTGGTTTTCCTTCCTTTTTTCAGTGATGCAATCTCTTTATTTTCAATTTTATTTTGCTGCACACCAAGGAATGATCTGTATCACAATCAGCATCTGATAGCTGCGTATAATTGTAACACTGGGAAGGTTGGAGTGCCTGGTAAGAATCAAGTCGAGCTGGTGCCAATGCTTCGATCTTGGGTGTCTCCAGGAGACACCGTGTTGAGGCTTTGTTTTAAAGAATGTATTGCTAACACAAAAACTGTAGTAGCAGCAGAACTCCAGCAGGTGTTGGCCATTTTCGTTCATCTTCCCGATGCCGAACTGACCTAGGCAAATGGGCCAAGAACTATAATCAGCTCTAACTCGGGCATTAAAGTCGCCAAGGATAAACAGTGGTTCTTTCTCAGGGATTTTCTTGATAATAGCAGCCAGATCATCATACAATTTGTCTTTGGATTCTACTGAAGATGATAATGTCGGTGCATATGTGCTAATAAGAGTAACCAATCCTGCTGATGTAGCTGCAAGGACAGAATTCTTTCACTTCCAGCAGTAGGTGGAATAATCAATCCTAGTAGGGTGTTTCTGACCGCAAAGCCAACCCCGTATTCCCTAGTCTCATTCGATGGTTTCTCCTTCCAGAAGAACGAGAAATTTCTCTCCTTCACAGATCCCGAGTCTGATAGCCTTGTCTCTTGAAGGGCAATGATGTCCATCTGCAGTCTGCTCAGCTCCATATCGATGACAGCTGTCTTACGTACGTCATCTATTTCTTGCGAATCGTCAGAAAGGCTGGGGGTCATTGTCCGAATATTCCAAGTGCCCAACTTTAGGGCAAAAAAATTCTTGTGTTGGTTGCATGGTGCAGAGTTATCGATCTGCTTGTTGGCTTTAACCCTAAACCCCACGCACCCAGTGAGGTTAACAAACCGTGGCAGGGCGGCACCTTACTGGCTGGGGGCTGCCCAGCTTAAGGCGGGCGGTAGCTGCCCAATGAGGTACTATGACCTCTCCCACCATCGAAAGTGGCCCCTGGCATCATGCTCTATGCCAATCAAGCAAGGACTTATAACCGGTAACTGCCACTTCCCGTGTTATTTCAATGCTGTATGCAAAGCTGGAGTGTCCTCTCCAGAGCACGAGGCCTGGGTAGATAAATATGGAGGATAGGCTGTTACCCAGGAAGCAGATCCCCCCTCTCCACGTCGCTGAAATAGTCCAATGGAATGGCGAAGCCGATACGATTAATTCCAGCTGCATCGCAGGAGTTACCAGAACGTGATAGTACGTACTCATGAACTGCTTATAGAACTCCGGCTCCGGATTTTTGCCTTGAGCTTAACGCCTGAAGCCTTTTCCAATAGTAGATATAACCACAAGGCAGTGGAGGTTTGAAATCAGAATTTCCCTTCTCCTAGAAGATGGTTCTGCCGTTTTACCCGCCTTTGGGGCATAAAGCCCTCTTCCGCCTTCAAAACCATTGGCCATCTTCTCCTGTAACCCTGAAAAAGGGCCCTTATGAGGTGCTACCAGCCAGGCCAGCTGGACCAAGGTTTTTTAAGGAGGTATTACTCCTCCAGCACTCCTCCTCACTCCAGGACTCCTACTCCAGATTTTGCTTCGGGATTGCTCATTCACTCCTTCATTTACTACCCCATCGCTTCCAAACGCCATTTGCTCATTCACTCCCACACATACTACCCCGTCAGTTGCAAACGACGTTTGCTCCTACACTCCCTTACTTGCTGCCCTTTGCTTCCAAACGCCATTTACATTCATTCATTCCCTCGCTTACTACCTTGTCGCTTCCAAACACCATTTACTCATTCACTCATTACTCATTCACTCCCACACATTCATTCACTCCCACACATACTGCCCCATTGCTTCCAAAATGCTCCATCGCCCCGTCACTCCCACACGTACTACCCCGTCACTTCCAAACACCATTTACCCCATCGCTTCTAAACGCCATTTGCTCATTCACTCCCACGCATACTACCCCGTCAGTTACAAACGCCATTTGCTCATACACTCCCTCACTTGCTGCCCTGTCGCTTCCAAATGCTGCATACATTCGCTTCCAAACGCTTCTGTTCTGTTCTGTTCTGTTCTGTTCTACCCTACCCTACCCTACCCTATCCTAAAAACAAAAAGAAAAAAAGGCTGAATTTATTTTGTTTTTTTACCTTTCTTTGCAGTGCAAAGGCAGCCTCATATGGTCCTGGACTGTGGCATAAAGAGGTGTTTTTGTGCACTTGGGCTCAGGGAGTGGCTGTTTCATGTTTCCCCCTTTTATTTGCAGTGCAAAGGTAGCCCATACAGCCCAACAGCCAGACTATTGAAGACATACCTTGTCAGCAGTGGGTGGGAAAAGCTGAGCTGGAGCAGCTAAGCAAAAGGGAGTAAAAGGATATAAATGTGGGAGATAGTTGAGTAAGAGAAGCTGTAGCACTGTATAAGTTGTAAGGGTGGATGAGCTGCCTGGCATCTGAATGTTGATCACATGATCACTGGGCACTACAGTCACCATAATTTCAGGCACAGATTGTTCAGCACTGTCATAACTTTAAAAAATTGCTGAAGGAATGGTTGTAATTTGAGAATTATCTATACAAATCTTCTCTATGGAAGAAAAATTGTTAATGAGTTTTTAATTAGTGGAAAATTTTCCTTAAGAACATAAACCAGTGGTATATTTTCTTGGGTTGAAATCACTTCCTTCACATTCCTGAGGAAAAT